AGGAGAGGAAGGTCTCCTTTTACACAGTGGAGTCCAGAGCTCATCTCTACACTTTTACTGACATGGTCTTCCCTCAGGGGGAGAAGATCTATCCTGTTTTCTGGACTGGGGATGAGTATAAAGATCTTGAGCTGCTGCCTGCTGTCAGTGTGGAGATTTAACCCGTCACTGTCTCATGAACACAGGCTGACTCTCTCCCAGCTCTCTGTCCCACTGGTAATGCTGGGAGAGGGGTTTAATTTGTGTTAGCATATTCATTATTTTGTATTTTATTGTTCTTATTTTTGTTTATTTTTTGAGACTAGGATTTTACATTTGTTTGTTGGCAGCGGCGTTTTTTTTTCTCCATGAACAGAAACTTGGGCTCCGTGTCAGTCTTGTCTTCTGTCCTGCTGTTTAGGCATTTCATGTTGAAGAATCTCTGTCCACAGAGGGACTGTGTCATGAGAGGTAGTTTTAACACACTCCCTTGTACGCTGGTTAGTGTGGTAATTGTGAGACACTCCCTAGAGCAGGCGAGTTAGAAGATGGCTGAGCTGCTTAATAACTGTTCAAGTAAAAAGTGAAGTTAAACATATTCCTGGTGTTGTGTTCAACTGTGTTTAATATATATATAAACTAACCCAAAACACGAGTGACTGAACCAAGAGTTTACTGCCCTGCTTCGGCATTTCATGTATTCAGAAGGATGATCTGCTCCAGGGAGTAAAAAAAAGAACATGCTATGGTATCTCGCAATTGCGACTTTGTCTCTCAGAATTGACGTCTTACCCATAGAAAACTGTATGAGTGAGGAACAACCGAAACCATTGAGAAAATCTGTTGCACATTTATTAGATTCGATAATGTTTTGTTCCACTTTTTGATCCAACAGACTCAGTTTTGCAATGCAGTTTTGGAACGGTGCATTGCTCCATCCAGTCAGTTTCCCCCCAAAAATTCAAAAAGGACCAAAAAAGCACTCGTCCTACAGCTGTCTTGAGCTCCAAAATCCGGTGCTGAAAGTAAAAATTGTCTAAGGAGTGTTTGAATGCTAACCCTAACCCTAGCTGGGGCTTCAGTTGAGCAGTTTTGCAATCTGTCCATGAAGTCCTCCAGTCATCAGATTTTGATATATTCCCCAAAGCAAGCTGTCTGTTTGAGATACAGTGGTAGCCATTGAGAAAAGCTGTTCCAAATTTATTAGATTCGATAATGTTTTGTTCCCATTTTTTGTCCAACAGTCTCAATTGTTGCGATACAGTTTCAAAATGGTGCCCCGCGACATCCAGGCAGCCAAGAGTTTCAGAAAAAAAATTCAAATAGGACCAAAAAAAA